TCCACTAAATGACTAGATCATCGAAATGCTTCGTCATAATCTTCACAACAGGTTTTTAACCACATAATGCAGAACTTTATTGCAAATATTCTTATTTCACCTTTACATTGCCAATTTGTATCCAACGTTTAGAAAAATATAAGGCCGAATAATTTTAGCATTAGCTTAAATATAAAATGTTTAACTATCTCTTCTAAGTAAAGGGGTAACTAACGAGAATGTCTCAAACCTTCCTAATTTTGACAATTTCCATAATCAAGTCAGTCATACACCTTTGTGATAAACAAAGTAAATCCTCTTTAACTGCGACTTACAGTGATCTGGCCATTGACTCCGTAGTACGATAAGCCAGCAAGCGCATGGAACCTTTGACCTTTATCGATCGCTTCCCCGCCTCGTGGAACAGGGTCAAGGATACAACATAGACCGCTAATCGCACAGGTTTCGACAAATTCCGTCAAACTAGAACAATTATTGGCTAGATTTTTATTGTTCGTGGAACAGAGTGATTCAGTTTCTGGTTGGTTGTAAAGTTTTCATGTTGCGTGTGTATTAAAATCTAATCGGTTTTGTTTATGAGAAGTTATTAACTATGAATGGTTTGCTGTTAATTGGGCCTTGACAGTTTGAATCCAACAAATGTAAGGTTTCTAATCGAGAAACGCTCTATAATTTTTGCGAAAATCACGAGAAAGAAACAGTATGACATTTGGACTGGTAAAAACTTTAGTTGAGAATAAATTGCGAATCATAAAATCTCAATTTTTTGAGAAATATGATCATTGAGCGACATAAAGAAATTGGCCACCTGTTCAGAATATTAAAAGGACAAACTTGATAACATAATTCACCTATTTACTTAGTAGAAAGATAAGAATGTTAGTGACAGTTTCCTATCGCCCACGAGGCCACGGCTGCCATAACAGACCTTTAACATTATCCCTTGAACCACAGATAAAATATATCGGTCCAATATTATGTAACTGTCTTTGAATTGCACCTTCAGGTCGCGACAGCACTTAGTATGCTGTAATCATTTCAAGTTGAATGAATGAGATTTTATGTAACTCGAATCGACATCTAAGGCTGCCCATTGAATTTTCTTCAGTGCTTAAGAAAAAATATTTTTTATTTGTTCTTGTTGAAGCTTTTATACATGGAAGCCTAAGTAAATTGTATTTGTAAGACCAAGAAGGGGCATTAAACAAATTTCTAAAGAAGCAGAATGTTCGTAGGAAATCTATGAAAAAATCTGGTGCAAGTTTTGTTTGTTTTTGTTTGGAACATAAATAACACAGTTATGATTATTATCTACTGTGATTTGTTTTGATAGCATTCTTAGATTATATCTTTTAACCTCAATACCTTCTTTTATTTATTTCCGTAAAGTTATCATTTGTCTTTGTCGACAAAAAAACTAATTTCGCGTCTACGAATTTGCTCTTGTGTTTGAAATTTGAATGATTTTTATCGAATAGATATCGTTTGCGCCATAATATTATATGAGTACAGGCATTAAACTGTCAAATACCAAGCGGTCACCGGTGACCGCAACCTATTGTTCTATAATTGTGTCTACAAAACCGGTACTCGACGAGTTAAGGAGTGTCTCTGATACTCTTTAATAAAAGTACCTAAGCTGCCGGATGTTAAAGATCGTTTCATATAAAAAATGCAAATAATCAAACAAGTATTGCATTTTTAGCCAATTAGATCTGATCAAAAGAATTTTAAAGATGCGTGCTTTTAAACCGTGTACAAGGATAATTTGTGTCTGAGGAAATAACATACAAAATATTCCAAAGGTTTTACCGTAATGTCTAACATATTTATTATTCTAGTTCACTGGGAAGTGACCGTTCACGGAAATATAAGAATCAACATTAATAATTGTAAATTGTAATGCATTGTAAGATAATGATCGAACTGAAAGTTGTTTGTGACGACACAAAATATACAGTTCCTGGAAATCAAGTAAACTAGATGTTGTATCTCTTTATCAAATTAAAAGATTGATCATTTCTTAGTAAGCTTGTCACCAAATCATAATACATCAAGATGTGTCTGAGGTATATTTTTTTTATGATGGCTAATTTACTTTGAATGTATTTCAGGAGTGTTAATAGACTATTCATTTAAACCATAATTTGGTACTTTTGAAACGTCAATAAAAATAAAAGAAATAATAGTCTGCTGTCGTGTCCGTCGTGTCTGCCATCTTTGTCGTATCGATCGTATACGGGGCGTGTTTGTCGTGTCTGCCGTGTCAGTCGTGTCGGTCGTATATGTCGTGTCGGTCATGTTCGTCGTGTCTGTCGCGTCGTTCATTTTTGTCGTGTCGGTCGTATCAGTCGTGTTTGTCGTGTCTGTCGCGTCGGTCGTGTTTGTCGTGTCGGTCGTGTCTGTCGTGTCGGTTGTGTTGCTCATGTCGGTCGTGTTTGTCGCGTCGGTCGTGTTTGTCGTGTCTGTCGCGTCGGTCGTGTCTGTCGCGTCGGTCGTGTCTGTCGCGTCGGTCGTATCTGTCGCGTCGGTCGTGTCTATCGTGTCTGTCGTGTCGGTCGTGTTTGTCGTGTCGGTCGTCTGTTGTGCCTGTCTTGTATGCTGTACCTGTCGTGTATGTCGGGCTTGCCATCTATGTCGTATCTGTCGTGTCAGTTGTGTTTTTCGTATTAGTCGTGTCAGTGGTGTCGGTCGCATTCGACAGCAGGAGGTCTGCAGAACATTGCGCAACCTGGGCGTGAATAAAGCCAGTGATCCCGACGGAAGCCCCGCCGTAATTCTTAAATATTTATGCACCTGAGTAGTCTACCTGTAAGGTCGACGGGCAGAAAATGCCTAAGGCATTATGTGCGCCCTTGTAAATTGTTAATTACTTGTACATAAAGTTTTAATAAATAAATGTAGAGGTATAATTCGCTGTGTTGGCGGCTTCTAACATGATATCCACCGATGATTCATGTACTAGTTAGATAACGATAATAGTAATTTCTTACCTATCACGAAATTTGATAAAAATGATCTTGGGAATATATATACAGCCCTAAGGTTATGTGATACACAGAATATTTTAAAACTGCTATTGCCATGCAATTAAATTAACACTTTTTAGCGCTATGACATCCCCTAATACACTACACTAACATTAGTTAGATGTGTGTCGCTACGTAAAGGTCAATTGAGAAACTTTGTTTTTTTTAGCAAATTCTTATGAATTGCTCCCATTTTGCTTCCCAAAAAGTCTTGATGACGCTACCAGCTTCCTATAAACAGTGGTCTAGGTTCTACTTTATTCATCAGTCACTCGGTCACTTATAATATCGATTCTGAAGAAAATATCCCCATTAGAATCATATCAACACTATCTTTCCTAGAAAAGAAACCTTTCTGTTGTTTTTTTTTTCATTGAATGCACGACTTCCAACAATATTTCCACACCATGTCTTTATTAGAGGAATTCAGAAGTTAGACCATTCAGCCGAACACTAGGTCTGACATTTCTAGAAATAATGTCCAAAACATATTAATATTCAAGCAGGATACAGACGATTGACCTTAAATATATGTAAGTATGTTACCAGAATTCTCTGAAAATATTTTCATAGAAAATGGGTCAAGATTTTGATTCAAAAAGTTGTAGAGGAAAATTTGTTTGTATACTCTACTTTGTTTCATTTTCAACTTTGTTGTTCTAATATAAAAGTCGAAAATGTAATGAAGGAATTGGAGTAGCTTGACCTGCACGAAAAAGAACAATAACAGATTGTACAACTGTAGTGTTTACAAACAAATACTGCGTGCTTTCCAGTGTTTTCAATTTATGACCCAAACATCGATATTACAGGTTTTTACACGTTTTATCAAGAAGTATCGTTAAGTCGGTGTAAAAGCCTGAGAAGATAAGATAAAACTGTAGAAATGAGTCTAATCGAAGCGTAAAATCCGAAAATGGATAGGCTGATTGAAATCAAGAAGATAAATTTGGTGGGTAACTTAAAGAAATATTTGTTCTTGACATAGGTAAGTAGACACGGCTTCTCATCAAGTATACATAACCAATTTGATCTCTCCGTACATTTGGCGGTCAGTTTAATATTGGTTTGATAGTTTGCCGTGAGTAAATGAAACTCACTACATTACTTATGATAACAGTGGCGCATAGCTTAGAAAATGGCGGCTCTTAATTTACGACACGACTTTGTTCCAAACTATCTTCGAACCTTCAGCATGCTAATTGATCGTGGTTATCAGCCTATGTTTGTTTGTGATAACAAATACATGTATGTATTGAACATAATTGCAATAATTAAGATTAAAAGATAATCTTCTTCAACGATGAACAGGGAAAATGAATTTATACCTAATCTGGTCTTAATTAAAGTTCAAAGTTCCTAAGTTTTGGTCTAAATGTTATTGTTAAGAATATTTATGTCCTATTGTACTTTGATAAAGAAGTATACTATACTAGCGGCCCGGTACGTGCTTCGCTACGTATAAAGTGAAATAAAATAAACAAATCGGAACATCAAATTCATTTATTTAATCAAAAAAATATTTTATTTAAAATCGAAATCAATTGCTAGCTATTTACAACACACTTAATCCAAAACATTTGGATAAACAATATTTTTTGTTTTTCCATTTTGAGCATAAATAAACAAACGGCTGGGGGTAACGACTCTGGAACAGGCAACATATAACTGGCCATGTGAAAAACAATGTTCCTCCAAATTCACACCACAAACGTGAAGTGTTTGACCTTGGGCCTTGTTGATGGACATCGCAAATGATAAACGCACAGGATATTGTAAAAGTTTGAACTCAAAAGGCATATCAGTTGGAATCATAGGTATACGCGGTATCAAAACAACTTCTCCTTTTGATTTACCAGTTAAGATCGTAGCTTCAATCAAATTTGGCAATAACTTTTTCACTGCCAATCTGGTTCCGTTACACAGTTTTGGTGGATTAATATTTCGCAATAATATAATCGAAGAACCAACTTATGGCAATATAGTTAAACGTCCGATGTCATTAACATTAGCATCATTCGCTATCGCATCTTGCAAATGAATATATTCTTCGGATCTTAATTTTACTTGGTTGAAACGAATAAAATTAAGACGTTCAGTCTCTATTTTGGCATACATATCAACGATGTACTGATGATATAGTTTACCACATTTTAAGATATAATTTTGTTCTTGTGGACGAATCATCAATCGATACGAATAAAAATTCATGGCACTAACTTTTTTCTGTATATGTAGACCTGAAAATAATTACAAAATGTGACTTTAGAAAGTTGTAGAAATGAAATGTCAACACACTAAAAATAGGTCAATTATTTACCTGTTCGTGGATCAATCATTGGTATATTGATATGGTAACCATCGTCACCTTTCCAATGCAATATTGGGTACTGTAATGCATCGTAACTACGATGAAGTTCCGAAACACGTTGCAATTGCTCATTTCTACGATGAAGTACAATATCACGGGATTGAAACTGATCACCAAGAATTACAATTGCAACCTCATCAATTGTTGGTGCATTAAATCGCCTTGCATGCTCTCCAAAAGGTGTTCTATCAGCTCTTATTACGATTTTGTGATTATCAGTTGGCATACGATCGAGAGCAATTTTAAACAATTGAACTAATGCGTTATGCTGATGGAAAAACCTTTGTAGCTCACGAATAATTTCTCGTCTTGTATTCGAAACAATTGCACAACGTTGATCCAATTCACGATTTTCATCACCAATAAAATAAATTTGCAAAAATTGATGATCAGCGTCGGGGTATGGCAATAACGAACCAGCTTGATGATAAATCTGGCCCTGAATCTGTAACATGTATACAATTTTAGGTAAATCTTATATCAGTTTTTTTTTAAATATACTTTATGCTTCAGATTGATACAAACATGGAATAATCCTGTTGAAGTATTTACCTTAAACGTCGGCATAAAATTATCTCTAATAATTTTAGTTGCACCAAAAGAAGTCATTTGAAATGCCGAATTGTATTGTTGAATATGACTCAGAAAGTGCTTCGACGCTTGCGATGTCCCAAAAATAAATGAATACAATGGTTCGGGTGGAGTTTCTAATGCTGGCAATCTCACTTTGCCATTAGCACAACACATGCCGGGCGTTTCACCTGGAAAGTTAGCCGCATCACAATGTGGACATATTGCGTCCATCATTCCAATGTATCCATACATACTATAATCAATCTGACTGTTGTAATTAAAAGCAGCACGCATCATTTCAGCCAAAACAGCACGACGTATTCGTGATGGCCGTGCAAGATTCAGTACAGGTACTGGGTTAACAAATCCATTGCGTGCATTACGTTCACGCTGCGATGCATTAGCTTGTGCGCGTTCATCTGCAGTCTGTGATCGTCTTAGTAATGCCACATCATTTGCATTACGCGTTCGCCGACCTATATTTGCTCGTCTGGCTGGTGGCATTTTTCCCGTATGCACATATGTTTTCGCTTAAAAATCGAAAAAAAAAACAAATTCCCAAGAAGCTGTCGCATATGATGCTATGTGAAATCATATACGGCAACTTAGAAAAGTACACATAAATTCAGGACTCACCGTTTGTATGAATGCACTGCAAATGCAATTATGTGAAAAGAAATTTATCGCTGATAATATGCTTTAATCAAACCACGTCCAAAATGAACTGACGGCATGAATGACATAACAACGTGCTTGTCCTGTCAACAAAACTTCAAAAAAGTTTCTGTGAAAAAAGTTTCTATTGAATTCATTTATTACAAAAAATGTGACAAATGAGGAACCGCTCGACCGATTTTGTGCAAACTTCACATAAACCATCTACTAAATATGCCGACCAAATCCTAAGCATTTGGTTTGGATAGGTGAGCCCGTTCTTGAGTTATGGAATTACAACGAAAAGTGGCATTGATTTTTATATATATAGATTTATTCAAGGTCGTTGAACTCAAGGGTCATTTTTACTAGTGTACAAGGAGTCCAAGGACGGACGGTGCATTCATTATGATATGAAAACTGTAAACAGAGACAGGAAATTGTCAATGTGTACCTCATAGTAATAACTTTGTTTTCCGTACTGAACCAAATTCAGTAACGCAGCTCGCTTGAATAACAATATTGTTTTGGTCTGCATGTGTCTGGAGTCTGAAGCATTAGCAGATGTTAAACTTGAGCTTCCTGTCGTGTCATGGTCTAGTATACGCTTATTCATTTATATCTATACCAATATTATAAAGAGGAAAGATTTGTACCTATTTTTGTATGTTTGTAATAAATAGGCTCAAAAAGTAAGGGGCCGATTTAAAAAATTCTTTCACCAATAGAATGCTACATTCTTCCAATTTGGCATAGGCTACATTTCATTTTCCATACGTTTGTTAATACAAACGAAGGAAAGGGAGACAGCGTCGTAGATGGGAAGACGATTTCAAAACAATAGCGGGACATAATTGGATGAGACAAGCGCAGAATCGCATCCGATGGCGAGCTCTAGGGGAGGCCTATGCTGGACAGCAAGACAATCTTCATGTACCGGTGTCAAATAATTAAATCAGATTATTGTTACTACAATTGTAAGAAAGATTGTTAAATAAAGGCTATTATTATTACATTTCATTTTGAAAAAAAAAGTCTACCCCGTGCGAAGCCGGGACGGGCTGCTAGTACCTATCATATAAGTTCTTATTATAGATGAGACAGCTCATAATCATCTAATTATAACCACATCAACCACTAACAACGGTACTTAACTACACAAATATAAAATGTATGACAGCAGTACTTCCCCGAGCCGAGTTCCTTTATGAAGGACTGCAGTAAGCCTTTATCGGAACAAAAAGTAAACAAACGATGCAACGATGTCAGAATGCATTACAAATTGCATCATTCCATTGCGAACAAAAGCAGAGCAACTCCTGTTTGCCTTATCTAAATCCTATAAAATTTTAACTTTTATGATTCATGCGCTTCGTCCTCTGTAATGTAAGCCAAACATTTTGTCCATCTACATCACGACACACCTCTTTTACCTTATCAGATAACACATTGCAGTCTAAACTATACTCTAGTTTGTTAGATATAAAGTTTAGATCACTTTGCTTGTGTACCTAACCAAAACTACGCAATATGATTGAGTGATCGCGTTCCGGTTGATGTTGGAAAGCTCCAATAAATGCACTCAGGTGAGTAAGGTCAAAGAACTGGCCCATACTAGATATAAACAAACGTAGCCCTGATAATGGAGTTTCCATTAACATGGTTATTACATGGAAAGTTTTACATGGGACATCCCCAGACTAAGCTCCTTTTCCACAAAATTTGAGGCCGCATTCTACATTTAATAAATGTACCAAAACATACTTGAACTATTTAATGCCTCTGGTGCAAACACAACCTAAATTACAGCTAATCTTTGCTCTACCAGACGATACTTTACGATGTTTCTACGTTTTAAACAAATTAGGTTTAAAGCAAAAGCACAGTAATCATGTGTACCTATTGGATAAAATTAAAAAAAAATGGATTGAATCAAAAGACTGAGACAGGTCAACTAGAAGCTTCGCGGATCTTTGAAACTGTTTATTATAAGTATTGTATTCCAGTAATTCTGTTTATATGATAAGTCGGTAAACGAGCAAACGGATAACCTGAAGCTAAATAATCGACATCGCCCATGGACACCCGGAACACCAAAGTTGTTACAAGCGCGTTACCGGCCTTTTGGTGATTAGGCATTTGAAGATTGTTGGGGATTTAGGGATTGAGGAGGGCAGGCTAATTGGGCCTCCGGTAACCTCAATCACAAGAGGAAACACAACGCAAGCGTTGTTTCACGTCGTTTTTATGTGTGGCCGTGGTATTACTCCGAACTGGCCGAACTGCCCATTCGTGACGAAGCATGGCTCTCCCACACTTAAAATTTCGTAACGTTTATTTGCATTTACGATACAGTTTGTTCATACGTAATTTGATTTACTGTATCTGTATCACAGCGTATCTACATACGTATGCGCTCCAAATATTTTTTCTGATATCTCCATGTCCACTTGGCAACAAGCCGTTTTGTTATTTTGTTCATTTGGCAATTATTTTGGCAAGTTGTATCATTAATTTCATCATGTGCCTTTCATACATATCATAAAATATTGTTCTGTTATCCGAAAGCCCTTTACGATAGTATTGCGTTTGATTTTAATGATTGCTTGAATAAATACAATTACTGTTTTGTCTGTACTTTATAAGTCCTGACATTACTTCGGTCATTGATCCTTGCATTAGTTATTTTGCGAGATCTTTTCGTGGTCCCTGTAGGTGTATTCATTTTTGCTCCAGGATTCTCTTGCACGAATATACATTTAATAGAGCAACCGATCAGATTGACGGAGTAATGCACCAGCATTACTGCATTCCTATTGATCAATAAAGGACAAGTTAACGATTCACAATGAGTTAACTCAATGCATTCCACCGAGTCTTTAAAAGCATTAACAACAGTCCTTATTTAGTGGATGACTACTCGACTAAAATAACCGATACACATCTATCTATCCAATAGGGCTGATGCCGATACGGAACCGCGGAAGAATTAACGGGTGGTCGGGGCTTTCGCTTCAGCTTGAAGTAGAGAAGTGAGAACAGAGTTGGATTTTAGTCAGAAAGACTCTGACACTCCCTCTAACCCAAGGCGGGAGAAATCATTGAATTAATTTCCCGCTTAAAAAAAGAACACCGACCTGTAGTTTGGTGCGCTATTACTTTTAATTACATCTCAACCACACCAATGAGACGAGTATATTTCAGAAGTTCAAGGTTGACTTTGAAGCAAAGATCCTATGAATGAAATGACATTATCAAACATTGAATCTTTTAGTTTGAAACTTATCTTCAATGTGATGACTAAGTTCATCTCCTGAGAAACCTGTTTCAATACTTATAGAGTTATCTAAATCAATTGATACAATATTCATTTTTGTTAGTCATTCATTCTCACTTCTTTCTCATATCGTTACATCATCTAAACATTTTATACAAACAATCGATCAAAAGTCTCGATTTATTATAAATCGTTAAAATCCTTATGAAATATAAGTAAGTATTTTATAACATTGTGCAATTTATAGAGGTAATACCTTTAAAAACAATTAATACAACACATTAAACTCTGTCTATCCTCATTAATGTGTCACTGCATAATAGCCTCTATTTCCCATACACTTTCAGTCTAAATGTCTAAACCACTATATCTTAGTATGTGGTTAAATTCTCACCACAAATTGATAAACATTGTTCCGTATTAGCTTAACATTATTATTGAAGTTATCTGCTTTTGTTACTAACTTGGTGTTAGATACCAAAGCCTTGGCTGAAATTCGCAAGTGAGGCAAAATAGATATAAGTTTTGGTCCAAAATATGAAATTTTTGCTTTTTGCATGGAGTTTTGTTTTGTAGTTTGTTAACCGGACAAAAGAAAGCATTCATCAACTGCCAACTCTAACGCGGAATTACTCTATCTTAAGTCTTTAGTACTATATAGTACCTATAGTTCTAGTTCAGTCACTACAAATTCTTTGTAAAATGACAGAGATGGCACAATATTTAAGTACAACTTAAAGCCTTTCAGTATTCGAGCGATAGCGGTCCAAAGAAAGGGCTAAACAAAGTACAGTAGTAAATGTAACTTAGCAACGTCATTTCACTACAAATATAAGAAAGAACGCATTGCCAACATCATTCTAGCCACGCTGGAGATAATGACGAAACGTATTTATTCTCTACCGCGGTGGAGTGCACTGATAGGTCGGACTAAATAATGATGAAACTGTTGTACAACATCGGGATTATGGACCTAAAAATATGTTCGACGCAAATATAATTCACATAATAAATACTAACATTGACTCTATCAACAGAAGATACGGATCCTGTACCAAATTATTGTTAGTCTTATCATATTGCTAATATGTGCTAAAGTCACGCCTGTTTTCTCTGATACTTCTGTTTACCCTGGATACATCAGACATCACCCGATTCCACCCACGTAATGAAGCTTGAACAGAATCGCAATGCTAAATGTTTTGTGTTTGATATTGGGTCACGACTGTAAATATCAATGAATGCGTCTCGGAATCGATTCATAAAAATTTCAAGTAAACTCACACTTAAAAATATAAAAAGCTAATAAACACTGCCTTGAAAATATCCCATATGCAAACGCTTTCCAAATAATCGTATAAAAAGAAATAAAAATATGAAAAAACCCGAGTTTGTCAAGCGAGGTGTTGTCGTCAGTCGCATACGTCAAACGCACGAAATTCTCGATGAAACAGGGTCATGGCGGCACGAGCGAGGCGACGCGTGCGCAGATTGTGTGAACGTATTTACTTTTAGTATCTCCTTTCCTCACTGTTTTGTAATACCAAACGATTAGCGGATTTCCTTGAGTCTTACTTTCTTGTGTATCACGGATGCTGTGTTTCAAGGTTTTTTGATAGTCTTCAAAAAGAGGGTTGACAGTTCTATCGACACGTTTTTGTGTGATATTAGTATTAGTGTCTATTGAATTTGTAGAATAATTTGAAGATACAATAAAGGAGCTTCTAATAAATCTACAATAGTTTAAACATGAAAGCTGCCTCGGGTCTTAGACTTAAACTTTTAACGTTTTTCTATGGTTTCCTTATTGTGAAGCTTTATGTGTAACTAGCTGTTGCCCGCGACTTCGTCCGCGTAGATTAATGACTTCTGACAGAATTCATCAGAATCAATTCAGTGCCCAATTAAGATTTACCTATTGTGAAATGATTTATCGTAAATTAAAAATCCCGCAGGGTTCTTACCAGTCCCGGCCCGATCACGTAAGTTTTGAGTAATAAAAACTT